GGTCATATGATGCTGCTAAAAAGAACATTTATTTTGTGTATTTGGTGTAATGAAATGTGTTTATGCGGTTTAAGGTTAAAAAAAGCACATTATTTTCCACATACTGTACATTAATGTTTCTCCTCTATGCCCCGCCTTTCCGAAATAAGTCGATTTTTACAAAGCTCATCGGTCTGAAAAAGCGAGGGGTGCTCTGATTGGCCAGCAATCCAGTGCGTTGTTAGGCCAAACAAAGTAGTTTTGCTTTCACAACGAAACACAGCGTCACACACGGTGGCCTAGAGTGAGCGGCCGCGGCCTACAGTGAGCAGAGGCCGGGGTATAAAGTGAGGAACGGCCGGGGGGTTAGAGTGAGCAGAGGCGGGTGGGCTTGAGAACGGCGCGGCCGGCGATTTCGACGAAGGAGCGTCCGGGAGGACATGTGACGGCCTCGGGCTGAACTCCGCTTCGTCCATGGTGAAAGCCGATCTGGCGATCCACAGCGCAAAGTTGTAGTATTTCCTCAGCGACCAGCACGGATCAGCTCCAGGCATGACAAAGCAGATATTGTCCTCTTTTGGAAGACCAAACAAAGTAGTTTTGCTTTCACAACGAAGCACACAGCGTCTTCACGACATGGCAGCGTCAACAACAATACTACAGCGAGAATAAAAGTTACGCCTTCTTTCTTTGCGTGAACATTTGGGAGGCGTTATGCAAATCTTCCCACATTGTGACGTAGACATGTGGGGGCGTGTTAGAACGAGCCGTTTTAGGTAGGGCTGGCTGATTTTTAACTTTTATAAAGAATATCTCTTTGGATTTGAGACTTTAGTCTTTGCAACTTTACAGATCTTCTTTATGCACCAAGAGCTTGTAACACTCCAAAGAGGAAGGAAAACTTGAAATTGCATCATATGACCCCTTTAAGTTAAGTTGAGCTGAAGATGAACTTGATATTGTCTTTCCAAAGCTGCTTTATTGCAGAATTTGTCTTATATTTGATGAAGATTCTATCACTGATTCTGTTACCTCCCCGTTTAATAATGTGAAGCTGCTTTGAAATAATCCCTATTCCCGAATCCCTACTGTATAAAGAGCAACATAAATATAAAGGTGACTTGACGTCACCATTTTGATTAAAAATAAATAAATAAAAATGAAACCTATGCATGGATGAACCATACACAATAAGATCTATAACATGCATTCAGAAAACAGGGTGAATTTCCATTTCATGCTGACTTCAACTGGATTGAACGCATTTTTTAAGTACTGACTACCAACCTGAATACAAAAAAAAAAAAATACAATCAAAATGCTTAAAATTTAACAACACTGTAAACCAGGGAGCCTTTTCTAAACCTTGTTAAAAGGGTGGCACAATAAACCTGCTGACCCCACATATGCGTGTGAAGGAAAGGATTTCCCACACCAGGTTTAGAAAAAGTAATTGATTTTCTGGGTCAAAGAAGGTCAAAAGAAGTAGTAGGACTCCATGGATAACTATTGCCTGGAAACACCACATTCGGTCATAACCTGTCTACATTCTATAGGAAGAAAACTTTGCATGAAGTGAATGAACTGCTGAGTTTGCAAGGCATAAACACCCTCATCCTGTCTGTAAATAGTTCAAATGTGGCATTCATTCATGTGCCAAACCAAGCAACCGAGACACCATGAATGAAGTTTAAGTTTGGCTATTGTAATGCTGATACTTCCTGTACAGGGCCTGAGAACTCAACTCTGCTGAATTTTAATTATCATTCTCATTCAATGGGACCAGCTCACAAAGCTTCACCATAGTGTATCGCTGAGGAACAGTTAAAACCTCAATCTAGGGTTCCTAAAGCAAATACCAGTTTCAGCAGAAATAGTTTTGGAGGGCTAAAACATTGACATTTCCTTTGTGCTTCTTCAATGGTGCGTTTTGTCTGTTTCAGCATCCATTTCAACAGGCAAACATGTTAGCAGTGTGGACGCTCTTCACTGTGACCAAAAATGATGCTAGAATAGCAAAAATGCAAAAACTGTAAAAACATTTTAAAAATTATGGCTAAGAGGTGGCTCACTGCCGAAGAACTTCATTAGGACTGGTTTATCAACTAAAGGCCGGAACACAGCAAGCCGACGGTCGGGCTAGTTTGTTTGGTGTGTTCCACTCGTCGGGCTCACATCGGCGGCAGTTTGCGTCAGGTCCGTCGGCACGATTGAGAGCTCTGATTGGATGTTCAGTTTCGCGAACGAGTCAGTGCCCGAGAATTAAAGCGAAAGTGATGAAAACAAGCACCCAAATGAAGGCGGTACAGACAGAAGGCTGTTTAAATGTTATGTGAACTTTCCCAATCATTCTAATACGCGAATGTTTTCATAACAACACGAGCCGCTTAAAATTATTAAAGTTATCAACGTTACTGATATTCAAAATGGTAAGCAAGCGCTGCTTTGTTTACGTTTCGTATATCTGCATTTATCTCATATATCTTTGTTTCGGTTTCTCCTTTTGAATGACGAATATATAGTATTGATAGCTGCTGATATAGACAGTTAATTCCTCTCACGCATGCGCAGAACGCACGTGTTAGTTTGCCGTCGGCTGTAGTCTGTGCGGTGTGTTCGAGTGCAGCTTTTTGGTCCGACGCTGCCGACGTGAGATGACAACACCGTCGGCTTTCAATTATACGGTCTTTTTCACTTCCAAAAACGGTATACTACCGTAAAATTAATGTCCAATACATGTAATGTCCAATACAGTTTTTCACCGTATATAGTAGGGGAATTTACCGTTAACCATTTAACAGGTTTTTACTGTAGCATTTTTACAGTCTTTTACTGTTAAATTCACGGTCATTTTTTACAGTCAAACCAAAAATGATTCAGACACCAGATATAATTTTTTATATTTATTTACTAGTGGGTGCAGGACACTATAGTTCACTTAGCCTATGTAAGTGAGGATAGCAAATTAAAGTAAACTGTGACATATTATACCCCAAAACTCTTCATACAGTGGTCTACCAGTAAAAATTTGGGACCAAAAATTTGATTTGACACTTTGACCTGACCATGTTTTGTTACATTCCTTTCTATCAAAGTTAGCTGACATTATCAAGATGAATTTGTTCTGACAATTTTTCTTTTATGCCAAAAATCATTAGGATATTAAGTGAAGATCATGTTGCATGAAAATATTTTGCACATTTCCTACTGTAAATATATATAAAGAATTGTTTTTGAAAATTAGTAACGTTTATTAATTTTTGATTAGTAACATGCATTGCTAAGAACTTCATTTGGACAACTTTAAAGGTGATTTTCTCAATATTTTGATTTTTTTGCACCCTCAGATTCCAGATTTTCAAATAGTTGTATCTCGACCTAATATTGTCATATCCTAACAAACCATACATCAATGTAACGCTTATTTATTCAGCTTTCAGATGATATATAATTCTCAATTTCGAAAAATTGACCCTTATGACTGGTTTTGTGGTCCAGTGTCACATATAGGTAGCCTCTATGTGCAAATAACACAACTTAAAGGTCCCATATTGTACACCTTTCTGGAGTTTTATTTTAGATGTCCTTGTCCTTAAGAATATATTTGCAGTATAAGTACCAAAAACCATCTCCTTATATTTTTACAGCTCCTTTTGATGTCCTTAAGAATATATATTTGCGGTATAAGTACCAAAAACCATCTCAATATATTTTGCATCTCCTCTCTCAGGAGCGCTGCTGAGAACAGGTCGATTTTTGCCTGTCTAATTAATATTCATGAGCCTCTCTTCTGATTGGCCTGATGTTTTCTGAGTGACGCACGGCCAGGCCAACCACAGGTAACTAGGGTCAGCGACGTCACAGCGCTAGCTGGAGGCAGCAAAAAAAAGTGGAAACTGAAGGCGGCCCATTCAAACCAGCGCAGATTCTGCTACATAAGGAGCTTAAAATATAATATTGTTGTGATGTTGGGTGTCAGAATTGACGTAATACAGCCTCAAATTAGAAATTTGATCGCATATCTGCTGCCACTGACAAACAAAAAACCGGCTACAGCTGTGGTTAAATGCAATAAAACGAGCAGACTGGACAGAAACGATCGTCAAAAATGCTTGCGTTTGCAGCGCACACTTCTTATCAGAAATGGTTCAATAAAGTATTGTATTTTGTCGTTATGGACACGTCTACAGATTTCTTGCCATATGTCTATGTTTCTTGCATCTCACGACTATGTCGTGTATGAAATCATGTCTGTGTGCACGTGTGTAATACAACAAATTGACGAATTATTTATACTCATTTGTAATTGTATATACATTGTTGTGATTAATTGTGGCTGGAACAATAATGTAGCTGTAAAAATAGTTGCCTGCTGAAATCGAAATATATATACACATCTTCATCATGACTAGGTAGACACAGTGAGATGTGTTACTATACACGTTAGATGGGATCCACCTCATAGTAACAACCCTGTCAGATCGTCCATCCTTTGAGTGAGAGTGTAACGTTACAGGTCGGCCGATCTGGTTTCGTGGTTAAAGTTAACTTTTTCGACATGTTTCCATGTTGTCGTTGCTCAGCAATGGCATGGACCCGATGTTGTCTGGGGGTTTGGCTAAAGGAGAGTGGGACGGTAGGCGGTGCTCGGGGTGGTGACTGTGTAGTTCTGACGTCAACTTTTTACGGAAGTCACAACGGTTTGTGAAAAATCACAGCTACTTTATGCAGGCTGTGTGCATGTTACTGTGGACTGACTGTTTTGAAACTTATATGGTAGTTAAATAGCCCATAGACCTCAGTTATCGTGACAAAAGCCAGGAAATTTCAGTTTTGACAATATGGGACCTTTAAGTCAATAAGCTTAGTTAAAAGACTTAAAAACTAGGTTTTGTGTTTCAGACGAAGGACCAGAAGGCGACAAATCGCAGGAATGATCCCTGTGATGACTGGTAAAGGGCATTTCTGAGATGCATGACAATGTTAAAAGAGTTAATGTACTGTAAATAGTGTTGACTTACAGTGAGACCGTTCTGTTGGGAAATGATTCGGGTGAAGGCACCTGATGGAGCTCCATGTTGCTGCAGACCACTTTTCTGTCCAGTGTGGCCCCAGACAGAGAGCTTTTCCCCGCACTTCTGGAGCGTTCATCGTATGATTTACATTCAGTGGATCCAGCAGAGCTCCTGAGCAGCACGAAAGCCAGTAAAAGGACGCAAGTAGCGCCCACCGACATTACTCCTGCCGTCCTTGATATCCACACGGCAAGAAGAGGGGGTTAGATTAGCATATAAATAGCCCTGAAAGCCTTTCTTTGCTGCTGTTTATATCTAAACACGACGAATATTCGTCAAAAGCCATCAAGCAGAGACGCAGGGCAGCGCTGCTTTTAAGTCATGGTCAAAATATTGACACGACGCAACATTAGATAAATCGATGTATCTGTGGTTTGGTGCTCTCCACATTAAGAAGCGGTTGAATAGCCTCCTTTGTTTGCCATATGATTCATTTTTACAACTCCACGAGCCCTTACCGGTTGATTGACCGCAAGTTGCCACAGTTTTCCGCGAAGGAGCGCTACTTTAAGTCGTTACATTGTCTTTGTTTCCAGTCAAAAGTGGAGATCTCGCGACTCCGCCGAGAGACCGCAGCTGCAACCATCCCAAGATAACAGTCTCACAAACTCACGCAAAACTTTTCTCCTGCGCTCATCTCATTGCACATTTGGCCTCCAAAAGAAAGCGAAAGAGTTTCCAGACTGTAGTTCTTCTACACAAAATAGCTCATTAAACGCGATATATCCGCGTGCCCAACAATAAAACCATTCTTGAGAAACTGAATGCGTAAAGTTGCTTTGCGACTGCTCCACACAGGCTTCAATGCTGCGACGGTAAAGACGCTTTTCGAAAGACCCAGGCGGAATGCGTAACCCAGAGCCCCAACGCTCGACCCTTGCAGTCGGTCAGCGGAGAGAAGCGTGACGGTGTCCAGCAGACTCTATTGGGTTCTGAGCTCCAGGCTCCAGGCTCCAGGCTCCATGTTCCATTTCCTCCCGTGACGTCATCACGGGCTTGGTCTGACCTCCCTAGACTAGAGGAACATTCTTTTGGAACTCTATTATTGATCATATTAATTGGAAGCCTGCTTGGTTAATCGCCTTTAAATATTGTATCAATAACAAAACTAAAGAAATACATTTTAAAATTGTGCATACCATCTACCCTGTTAAATCAATAATTCCAAGATACTCTGATATTGATGATTTATGCTCCTTTTGTAAAAATGAGAAAGAGGTGTTATCAGATTTATTTTTCCATTGTAAAATTACCCAAAATTTTTGGAAGGAATTGGCAGAATCTATTTTTACATTGTTAATTTATAATGTTCTTTTTAGCAACATCATATGACCCCTTTAAGTTTATAGCTTTTATTTTACAAAGCCGCAAAACAAAATGCAACTCAATACTAAAGGATCTTGATTCATTGTGTAGGTTCTCATTTGTTTTTGTGGCCCTCACAAAAGGCTCTCTTTACACTGCTGCGCTAAAAACAAGTTCAGACAGGTTGGCACAAATCAAGGTAGCCTATAGATGGGCTCCCATAGCAGAACAACCTGATGAGAACAATGCCTCATGTGCAGTGTTCTGACACTGAATCGAGTGGACACAGTTATACATACTGTTTCCTATGCTGGGAGCATCAGGGACAATTTAGAAGCAGTGTGTAAAGAGGACTGCACCGCATGCAGGTCAAATGTCGTTGTCCTTGGGCTATTCAGTTTTCATTTCCATTAGTAATATTTGCTTTTTTAGTCTGAACCTTGAGATGCGTTAAACATTACACAGTTTGAAACGCACATTTAACCACTAGTGGAAATATTAAAATGTTGTACTTTTGTTAATTCCATTCTTAAGTAATATGTACTGTGTGAAGATGTAATTTTATGAGAACAAAAAAATAGGACTTTGTTGGGTGTCGTGCTGAAGTGCGTGATTACGTCAGGCGCAGGGCGTGCTGACGTTCAGCGCTGATTTTAAAGGGGCGCAATGCTCGAAACTGAAGCGGAAGATACGTGCAGCCTTTAGTAGGTACCAAGTATTTTATTTAGTCCCTTCAACATTACACTTCATTATCGTCCTTTAACATGTCTGGACTAGATGTCACCGTATTTCCACACGACTTTGCGTGGGGAGCTGCGACTGCTGCTTATCAAATAGAAGGTAAAGTTTACTGTAGTGCTCATGTTTACTGTAGTGCTCATGTTTACTGTAGTGCTCATGTTTACTGCAGTGCTCATGTTTACTGCAGTGCTCCACACAGCACACTGAACCACGAAGTGCTTATCGACTTTATTATTTGATCGGACTTATTTGCTAAAGAGTTGTTCATTACAAAGCGTACTATGGCATTGCAATGTTTTCAATGTGATATCATTATAACATAGGTTTTTTTTTTGTTGACATGGTAATTATATGGTATACTTCTTAAAGTACCTTACAATACCATGCTATATAATATCACTGTGTCACAGCACCTCGGTATTTTAATGCACTGTTATTCTGTAGCAGTCCAATTTTCAACTTTGTTATTTGACAGCTGTACATTATGAAAAAATTAAAAGTGATTATGTGTAATGCAGGTCTAAACTTTCAGATGAATGTCCTATCCGTCTTGCAGGTGGCTGGGATGTGGATGGTAGAGGCCCGAGCGTGTGGGACACATTCTGCCATGCCAAAGGAGGGGTGTTTGAAGACCATACTGGAGATGTAGCCTGTAACAGCTATCAGCTCTGGGACGAGGACCTGAAATGTGTCCAGCAGCTGGGACTCACCCATTACCGTCTGTCCTTATCCTGGTCACGGCTCCTTCCCGGCGGAACCACAGATCATGTCAATCCAAAAGGTGCTCCGGGGGGAAATGACACTCGTAGTGTGAGGTTCAGAGCAGTCAAAACACCAAAGCCAGTCTTTTGTTCTTTCTCTGTGCTAAACAGCTTTCCAAACGCTGTCAATGGCACTTTGAAAAGATAACTTTTCACTAAAAGTCACAAAAAGTCAAATTAAATTAATTCTTGATCTAAATGGCACAAATGTTCACCAGTGGGAATGGGACATTACGAAAACTGTGTAAATGTGCTTTCATTGAAGTGCAAAGGTTCTGAATTCACAAAGAAGTTTTTTATTAATTTTCTACACAGAAACAGAAAGCAATGATAAACACAATGTGTGTCAATACTAATAAAATAAGGTACAAAGCAACTACAACAAAACAAACACTGCACAGTCAGAATAATAGGAACGAATAATAATAATAATTAAATATACATATATTAATCCGTTATTCAAGCTGTTTATGAGATTTGTAAAACAACCTTCAGAAATCAAGCCGTACTCCTTTCCCATCAACTATCAGGAACCATTCTCTTTAATATACTGAAAGCGGGGGCCCCACGGCTTTCCAAACTTATTTGAGCATTTCTTGAGGGACAAGAACTAAAACTAAACAATTGAGTAATTTCCATTACTTAAAACAAAGGAACCGTTAACTAAAATACAATAAATAATTTAATTAAAGAATTAATTCATAATTGAAAAAAGTTAAACTTTTTTTTATTTCAGTTATCTGCCAGGGCAAAAATTTTCATTTAGTTTAACTTGATGTGCTGTACTAAACTAAACTAAACTAAATTAACTAAACTAAAATAAAACTAATAAATAAGAATTAATTAAAAAAAACAATATAGACACACAAACAAAACTAATAAAAATGACAAAAAACACAACAAAATTACTAAAAATTTAAAGTATAAATCAAAACAAAATAGAAAAATAAAATTAATTCAAAATATTAACAATAGCTATAATAGTATATCAATGATACTGAACACTGCAATAGGGGGGAAAAAAATCACAATTTCCATTTCATACTGACTTTTTACATTGTGGAATGATTTATGTAATAAAAAAAAAAAAGTTTCTTTACTGTGTGCTTGATGCTTTTTTGTAACCCTCAGGAGTGGCCTATTATAACAAAGTGATCGACGACTTGATTGCTTGTGGTGTGACGCCCATGATCACATTGTACCACATGGATTTACCACAGGCCTTGCAGGATCTCGGCGGATGGAGCTCGACAGAGATTGCAGACATCTTTGAAAGTTATGCCAGGTTTTGCTTTAAGTCCTTTGGGGACAGAGTGAAGCTCTGGATCACACTGAACGAGCCCTATGTTTGTGCCAAGCTGGGCCATGAGGACGGGACCTTTGCCCCTGGGATCAAAGATCCAGGAATATCAGTTTACTTGGCGGGTCATAACATGCTGCGCGCCCACGCCAAAGCCTGGCATACTTATAATACTCATTTCAGGCCTTTACAAGCAGGACAAGTATCTCTTGCCCTGAACAGTGACTGGGCAGAGCCGTCGGACCCGGGCTCTCCTAAAGATGCTGCAGCCACTGAGCGCTACAAGGACTTCACTCTGGGCTGGTTTGCCTGTCCTGTGTTTTGCACAGGAGATTACCCAGAGTCCATGAGGGCCAGGATTGAGTCTAGGAGCTTGGGTCTGGGATGCAAGCAGGGCTCAAGGCTACCACGTTTCTCAAAAGATGAGCCCTCTCCTCTGGGCACGGCAGATTTCTTTGCACTGAATTATTACACGTCTCGGAAAGTAAAAGATTTAAATGGTGGTAGTAAGAAGAGCGAGCTCAGTTTTGTGGGAGATCAGGGGGCAGAGGGTTTTGTTGACCCATTGTGGCCCATATGTGGGGTGCACTGGTTGGCTGTTGTTCCTGATGGATTGCGGAAATTGCTCAAATATATAAAGGTGTTTGCATTTATTTGAACAAGTGTCTACACTTTATATTTAATTGGGTTTATATTCATTATATAGAGATATACAGTATACTGGCATATGAACAAAATCATATAAATTTGCATGTTTCTTTAGGACACGTACACCAGTCTGCCCATTTATATCACAGAAAATGGCTTTTCCCAGATGGGGCCGGTTCAGATTGAAGATACCGACCGTTCCCAGTTCTATCAGGACACTCTGCAGGAAGTTGGCAAAGGTACTGTCATATTAACACTGCTCAGTATGTAATAAAATACAGAGTGCAAAGGTCATTCTATACAGTTAGACTATAATACCATTGTGAAAAAGTGTGCTTTTTAACTATACTGAATGTGAACTTGTAGTGTACTTAAAATCTTGAAGGTAGTTTTTAAATATATATTTGCAGATAATATAATATTCATAAAATATAAGACATAAAGAGAGTACACATAAAAAAAATCAAACACTAAACATTAGTTTAAATTCTTATAGAGTACGCATTCATAACTTTCCTAACAGACTTTTAAAGAGCACTTTGATAAAAAAGAGCTAAATAAAGAGCTTTTAATAATCTTTTGTTGTGTTTTAAAGAAGCACACTCATTTTGACATGTTGCAACTTTATTGCAACGTTATCATTGCAATCTTACAAATATATTTAAATACATGATATACAAGTTTCAGTACAAATGACTTTAAGGTTTAAAAACTTTAACCATATTTCAAAGGCAATCGAAGTAATTATGAAATTACAAATAAAGGTTACTTTTAAGTTCAAGTCATTATATATATTTAAACTTCAATACATTTTCATTTAATTGCAATTAACATAGTTATGTGTCTGAAAACCTTACATTCAGTTCACACTTGACTTTAAAAGTATATTATTGCAGTAATAAGTACACTTTTTCAAAGTATGCTAAAGTGTACTTCTTTATCACTTCTGTAGTCCTAAATTTGTCAAATTCAGCTATTGTAGCTTTGAGACCCAGACTAATGGAAGTATTTCAAATAATAGAACCTATAATCTGATAGGAGCTCTGTTCTGAGGATGATCTGAATGATGTGTTTGTCTTGCAGCTATCAGTCAAGATCGAGTGAATGTAAAGGGATATTTTGCCTGGTCTCTGCTGGATAACTTTGAGTGGAATCATGGCTACAGTGTGCGCTTCGGCCTGTTTCATGTGGATTTCTCTGCACCTGACCTGAAGCGCACTATTTACGGCTCAGGTAGAGAGTATGCTGCTGTGATATCCAAACACCGCTCTCAAACCAAACCCAAGAGCAGTTAATTCCTAACATATTAAATCAACATAATATTACACTTGAAGAAATTACGTCTAAAGTGTAAATTCCATAATTCTATTTTTGGGAGATTAAATAATGATGAGCCTAACAGTATCAAAAGTGCTTCCTCTACAGTGTTGTTTGCTGTAGAATTGAGTGAGTCACACAGTACTATAAAAATGTTGTTAAATTGAAACTATTCTTGTATGGAACTGTGCACAGAAAGAATGCATAATCAGGAAAAAATTAATAAATACGATCACTTGAAAAAGATTGATTGACCAAGAATTCCATGTAGAGAAGTCATCATAGATGAATATATAACATACAACGAAAATAAGGTTTCAGTTCTAATGTTTTGTTGATATGCACTGCCTCTGTGTGGCCCAAAGTGGTATTATACTTGGCACATCATTTTGTGCTGGTATATTGGCACTTGCATTGCTTTATGTGCATTAAACAAACATGTATGAGATATTAATGTAACAATTTACATGTAGTAATTTACATGAGGCCATGCAAACTGAAGTTGCGTTAACTGGATTGCACGTGTAATTACTTTTGGGAATGTGGTTATGCTGAACCTAATGGCAGCCCTGAACTCCCAAGGGAGTAAATGACTGCAGAAATTATGGTTCTGTTCTAATTATTGACTGTGGAACAGACATAATTGCGTCATCTAAATGCATAATATGTGATCACAAATCTTTAAAACGAGATCTTAGAGACAATTCTTTGTGGGGGAGATTAAATATTGAAATATTAACATTTGAGTTATCATCTTGTAGAGTGTTTGAGCGGTATTTTTCAAACTGTGTTCAGTCTATTTGAATCAGAGCACAACATTGTGAGCTATTTATAATCCACATGTTCCAGTCAGGGTGGCAAATATATTATTTCAAACTAAATGTTTCTTGACTCTGAATTAGTGCATTTAATTGTAACATTCATTAGCTTTCAATTTTAAATCAAAATGGGATTATACTATGGAATTGATATTTAACATCTTCGGTCAGTTGGCATTCACAAAGATGAAATATATTTTGACGGAAACATAAAAGATAGAGCTGTAGGAGACAGCTATAAAAGTAAACTCTCTCATACTGTCGTGACATTCAATTGAGTGACTACAGCCTGTTTGGACTGAAGTGAATGGGAACACTAATGGCACAATTACAAGGGATTCGCCATTTCTGCTGGCGTGAGGACTGTACTTTCAGCAGCCAGTTCAGCGTGGCATGTACATTTCTAGTTCCATTTAGTCCTGAATAATAGGCACTCACTGTGAACTGTCATCATCTGAGTGGCTGAAAAAGGCCTCTCTCGGGCCCCAATAATGACAGGATTATATTCTCAATTGATACTGCAGAGTCTTTGTTTATATAAGATCGCAAAAAAAACTCATAAGCTTTAGACTAAGAGGCTACAAAGATTATTGCGCCAAGTGCATCGCTGTTTTTACAGAAAAATTATTGGAATTTACCCATCAATTCATGGTCTTTGCTACTCTGTAAAGAGATTAATATTGTTAATTCTTCATAAATTATGTTCAGCCATATTCTCTTATTCACCCTACTATAAAGTAAAACAAAAATGGTAACAGTGCAACTTGAGGATAAACCATAAGCAAAACACAAATATAAGCTATGCATAAATTTGGCAATTATAGAATTAGTGCTGTCAAACGATTAATCGCAGTTAATCGCATCCAAAATAAAAGTTTTTGTTTACACAATATATGTATGTGTGTTGTGTATATTTATTATGTTTATATAAATACAAACACATGCATGTATATATTTAAGAAAATATGTTTATATATTAAATATATTTATATATAATATAATAATATAAATATATGTATATGCATGTAAATATTTTCAAAATATATACTGTATGTGTGTGTATTTATATATATACATAATAAATACAGTACACAAACATATATTATGTAAACAAAAACTTTTATTTTGGATGCGATTAATCGCGATTAACCGTGATTAATCGTTTGACAGCACTAATAATTATAAATGTGTTATTAACTATATTATTATAAAATGAATGTTAATATAAAATTGATGTCAAAAAAAAGTTTTGAATTAATTGTTGGGTCACAGTTTCAAACATGTAATTTTAAAGCCTACCATAAACATCATTTCGATCCGTCTGAACAAACCGATTCACTAGAACGAATCAGACTTTCCAATGCTTCATTTCAGAGAGAGGACTGTTTAGGCTGAACCGATTCACTAGAGTGAATCGAACTTTCCGACGTTACTTTAGGACAAATCGATTCACTAAAAGAATCAGACTTAGCTATGCTACATTTGAGAGAGGATGAACTGATTCAGTTGAATGAATCTGAGTTTTTGATGCTATGAGAGAGTGAGTGCCTTAAAATAGTTAAAATACAGCATTTGATCGCTACACAGCTATTCCTTTGATCAAGTAGCTAGTTACCAAAGAAGCTAAACTATTGTGTGACTCTGTTCTCTCAGGCTACTGAAAAATAGGTAGCATCTTTACTTTTAGTTGGCTGCTTCAAGTCTGATTCTTAACGCTGGACAAAGTGAATTTCTTAGTATCTTTGTCTTGTTTTTCAGTACAAACATCTAAAAAATCTTAAATCAAGATACATTTAGAGTTGGCTACTTGAAAAGCAAAAAAATGACGTAGAAATGTATCAAAATTTGATAAGTTTATGCTCAACACAGGAAAACAACAACAACAACAACAAACAATCTGCCAGAGAGGTAAAAAAAAAATTTTTGTCTACTGAATTAAGTTTATTTTTCTTACCCCAGAATTTATTTATTTCTTTTCAGATTTTAAGCCTAAAATAACTTATTATTATTGATTGATTGATTATTGATCTTACATCATCTTGCTTCTGAAGATTCTCAGGGAAGAAAAAGTACAGAGTAAGAAATTCACTTCACAGCCTTAATGAATATAAGATGCTTTTCCATCCCATCACGGATGATGTGAGATGCTTGACCAGACCGACTGCTTTGTTCCCTGTAACTCCATTGGCATGCAGGTGCGTACAGGTAAGCGACAGTCATCCATACGGCTGACACATGGAGCTATCAGCCGAGACAGTGACTGATGGCTGTAAGTTAGTTGGCTGCTTCAAGTCTGATTCTTAACGCTGGACAAAGTGAATTTCTTAGTATCTTTGTCTTGTTTTTCAGTACAAACATCTAAAAAATCTTAAATCAAGATACATTTAGAGTTGGCTACTTGAAAAGCAAAAAAATGACGTAGAAATGTATCAAAATTTGATAAGTTTATGCTCAACACAGGAAAACAACAACAACAACAACAAACAATCTGCCAGAGAGGTAAAAAAAAAATGTTTGTCTACTGAATTAAGTTTATTTTTCTTACCCCAGAATTTATTTATTTATTTCTTTTCAGATTTTAAGCCTAAAATAACTTATTATTATTGATTGATTGATTATTGATCTTACATCATCTTGCTTCTGAAGATTCTCAGGGAAGAAAAAGTACAGAGTAAGAAATTCACTTCACAGCCTTAATGAATATAAGATGCTTTTCCATCCCATCACGGATGATGTGAGATGCTTGACCAGACCGACTGCTTTGTTCCCTGTAACTCCATTGGCATGCAGGTGCGTACAGGTAAGCGACAGTCATCCATACGGCTGACACATGGAGCTATCAGCCGAGACAGTGACTGATGGCTGTAAGTGGGGCACTGGGAGTGATGCCATGCCGGAAGAGCTTGTCCTGCGGCCCCCCCATGGCAGATGAGAGATGGATACCACCACCCTGGATTGGGAGCTGTGGTGGATGGACGAGAGGAGGGGTAAGACTGTGTGGCTAAACCTTGAGAATAGATAGCTGGTGAATTACAGCCTCTCATCTTCAAATGTGATGGACGGGGTAGTGGAAAATGCCCGGCGGAGCGAGTGCCAGCTGCTGCTGTTTGGTACTTTGGCAAGGACGGCGCCTGGCGTCTGACATGTGGTGATAGACTATCTGATCAGTGAGTTTTTCTAAAAAATATTGGTTATCTCTCATACCTTCCAAATGAGTCACTGTGTCTCTTTACCCCTTAAAGGAATAGTTCACCCAAAAATAAAAATGGTCTAAAAATGTCCTCACCCTCAGGCCATCCAAAATGTAGATGAGTTTGTTTTGTCACAAAACGAGCCTAAATAATTATCCAAAATAAAAGTTTTTGTTTACATAAAATATGTGTGTGTGTGTGTGTTGTGTATATTTATTATGTACTGTATACACAGTACGCACACATATATTATGTAAACGAAAACTTTTATTTTGGATGCGATTAATCACGATTAATCATTTGACAGCGCTAGTTTTGTCATAAGATTTGGAGAAATGTAGCATTGCATCACTTGCTCACCAATGGATCCTCTGCAGTGAATGGGTGCCGTCAGAATGAGAGTCCAAACAGCTGATAAAAACATCACAGTAATCCACAAACAATCCACATGGATTAATCATGTGAAGTGAAAAGCTGAGTTTTTAAGAAGCAAATCCATCAAAACCATTGCTTTTGGCTAAAATACGAGTCCATACTCCATAATATTGCTATATCTCCAGTGAAAAAAATAATCTTGTCTGAATCAGGAGAGACATATGCACAGATCAAGCATCATTTGTAAACCAAAACAGTCCAAAACAGCTCTAAACAAATATGTTGGTGGATGTTGATGTAAGAGGACAACAGGAGATGGAAGTGTTATGGATTATGGACTCTTTTGGCTGGAAGCGACAGTTTAAAGTTAAAACACCTTAATTATGGATTTTTTTTATCAGCTGTTTGGACTCTCATTCTGACGGCACCCATTCACTGTAGAGGATCCATTGGCGAGCAAGTATTGCTACATTTCTCCAAATCTGTTCAGATGAAGAAACAAACTCATGTACATCTCGGATTGCCCGAGAGTGAGTATATTTTCAGCACATATTTATTTTTGGGGGAACTATTCCTTTAAACACACATCAGATTTTCAGTTATTATGCATGCACCCAAATAATTTGTTTATAACTGGACTGATGGTGCAATCAGACTGAAAAGCCTTTGTGTAAGCACCTCAATCAATTAGAATGAAATTTCGAACAGATTGAAAGGAGTAATGTAGACCGTAAATAACCTGACCAAGAGGAAAATATTAAGCATATAAATGCACATCTCTGATGTTTTTCAGAATCTGAAATCGCATTGAATTTTTGTCATGTTTGATGAGAATTAGAGCATGCAAACATCTATTGAGCTCTAAATGGAGTGTAGACTTGGGAGCATTTTCCGAAGGTATTTAAAGGAGAATGTGCCGTTTCTGTTTCAATTATCCTCTTTTACTGTCCTGACACTTTGATCAATGTGGCAGGGTCAGCTCTGTTCATGAACAGGAATCCTTGTTCTATGATAATTTTGAAAAATGACCGTGTACTAACTACGATCCAAAAGAACAGTGATGAATTTCTGATCATCTCCCTGTAGGTCCAACAACACTAAGCTCAGGATCATGCTTGTTGAACAGACATGATGTTGATGCTGAATGTAAAGGATGCTGATAGTAAAAATGGGAGACACATATTGGCAAAATGGGTAGTAGCAACATTATTAGTTGCTTTTTTAGTTACTTTTGAGGGTCTCACTACTGAATCATTCTAAGAAAAAAAAAAGTTCCTTTTACATTTTGGAAAGGTTATTTTAAAGTTGAAATTTAAGTGGTCTATAATATCAGGGAAATTCCGAGAAACCCTATTAGACAAAGAATGTCTTTTAAGTTCTAATAAACAGAATTCTGCCAGATCAAGTTAAATACTTAAAGGCCTGGTTTCACAGACAGGGCTTAGACTAAGCCAGGATTAGGCCATAGTTCAATTAGGACAATTAAGTAATTTTTATAAACGTGCTTTAGAAAAAAACATTACTGGTATGCATTTTAAAACA